CTGGAACTGCATGAATTTTGATTGTTATTTTCGCTTGTGCAGTTTACATATGTTGGTTCTCTCGTTTACATTGTGCGGATGACCTTTTCCATTTCCAAAAGCACGAGTAGACGTTCATCGATTTTTAAGGCCCCACGTATCTGAAAAGCTGGTAACGTCACGGATTTCAAGCAGCCCATGAATGAGCAGGTAACATTAGTTCTCATCTAGGACTGAAATATATCGAAAATTGGTCTCGAGGTAAAAAAAACTCGAAAACTGAGATAAATTATTCTTGCTGCATTTACAAAATGGCCGATCTGAAGAAAAAAACAATTAAAATTCACAATATTCCCGTTTTAAAATGTGTGATACATTGCCACCCGCACTCCGTTTCAGACACTATTCTTGTAAACAATGACTAACAATTACTACGATGCATGATCGAGGGAGAAATTATAAATTAGAATAACTGGAAGAATTTTCAGAATCTGCGAAATATTTCCTGAAGTTTAAGACATAACCTTCAAAACCAATAGTTAAACAATGCTCTCTTTATAATTTTTATTTTATCTTTATTAATTATTTACTCAGCTAACTGACTACCCGCTAGATTTATTTGTCTTTCCAAATTCAGGTTTAAGCAAACTTGAAAAAGGCATTATAAAAATAGTTTCGATTATTCGTCAGATGAGAAGCCCTTTTTTAACTTTTCTACACTGAAACGTTTTCACAGTGATAGCTAATCGATTCCAGCTGCTACAAACAGCCATATCATCTTACCAACTAAATGGCAGCAGCAAACTTTACTGGAGATGGACAGCAGAAAACAGTTCAACAACTCATGTGTTCCGCAGGATTAACTGCTGGACTACACGGCCAGTTGACTTTTATTTCAGTTTTAAACACTGTTCTGTCCGTTACTGCATTTCTTGGAAATGCTCTGATCCTAATTGCTCTCCACAAGGAGTCTTCATCACTTCATCCCCCATCAAAGCTCTTACTTCGTAGCCTTGCAACAGCTGATCTCTGTGTTGGTCTATTTGCAGAGCCTCTCTCTGTGGGCTATTGGATGTCTGAGGTGAATGAACATTGGAATATTTGTCCGTACCTATCGCTTGTAAGTTTTGTAACAAGTTATATCTTGTGTGGAGTGTCGTTCGCAACTCTGACTGAACTAAGCGTGGATAGACTTCTTGCCCTGTTGTTGGGACTGCGATACAGACAAGTTGTAACTTTAAAGCGAACCTACCTGACCGTTATTACCACTTGGGTTATTGCCGCTGTCTTTTCAGGAATGGTATTTTGGAATCCCCTGATAACCTTATGGTATGGCACCATAGGTATACCTCTATATCTTATAATCTCAATCTTCTCTTACACAAAGATTTTCCTCACTCTCCATCATCGTAACACTCAGATTCACAGCCACAATGTTCAACAACCAAACCAGACAAATCAACTAAACATAGGGCGATACAAAAAGGCAGTTTCCACTGTAATATGGCTGCAACTGACGTTGGTCGCTTGTTATCTACCTCATGGTGTAGTGACTACTTTGTGGGCTAAGAGTGGACTATCTGTATCTGTTTATCACGCTAGGATTTATACAGCCACTTTAATTTTCTTAAACTCGTCTTTAAATCCAATTCTTTACTGTTGGAAGCTAGATGAAGTTAGACAAGCAGTAAAGGACACAGTCAGAAAAGTGCTTCGCCATTGTTTTACAAGTTAGCTCTTGTAGACCAATACGATAAAAAGCTTAAATGATGTTTTACGACTAAGGTTTTAGAAGTTCTCGTAACAATTGTCTTACATTAAAAGTGGTGCTTACTCATTATAGTATATTTTAGTATATCAGCCTGAAATGCTTTCCCAGCAATAAGATAGCCATCGAGAAATTTTTCATCATCGTTGTAAAGAAATATAAAAATTGTTTTAAACTGTAACTTTGCAATGCAACTGTGAATAAAGATGAAAAACAATAAATTGCCACTGATTTTTCTTCGTGTGGACTTCATCACGCATAATAAAAAGAGATTAGACTCTTGACAAAATACAGCTCTTAAATTTAACAGTAAGAACGAAGTTTCTTTCACTCATAACACAGGCAGAAAGCGTGGAGCTTTTATGAGATGGATGAATTATTATGACACGAAATGTCGTTTACGAAATAACACAGGAATTGTGCACTAAATTTTATAATAACCGCCTTGAGTTCAGAGTTTGTGTTTTCATGATTCGCCTTTCGTTCAGAAACCCAACGAAAATTCGCAAAGTGATTTATTATGCATTTATAGAATAAAACAAGGATACTGTGGGATACGTAACTAACACTCAAGCGGGAATTATTCGAACATTATGACACAGGTCTTCGTTGAAGCTTAGGCTGAATTTTATTTTCTTGGAACATGCAAATTTTTGCACATGCATGGAACACGCATGTTTCTGCACCTGCTAGAGCAAAATAAGTTAACTAATAGCATACCAAAATTAAAATCGACAGGTGGAATCTGCTTTTATGTGAAGCACTAGCAGTAATTTATAATGAACATAAAATTTCGAAGCTACGCTTTATTGAGTAATTTAACTTATGTCAGATTAGAATTTGAGAATTTAATTGAGTTTAGCATGACGGGTATTCTTGTCAAACTTCTCACATCGTGCTCAGATTAATATAATATAGTGGTTTCTTTTGCAAACATCTTTCTTTCGAGATAGCTCTTCCGTCTTTAATCTGAGTTGAAGCGCTATTTACTGAACGAAGCTCGACTGTTAGACTTAATATAAGTAAATGGCGTATTAATTAGACCAAAGATGTGTTCTAGAAAAATGGCGATAAAGTTACTGGAATCGAAAACAGAAAATATGTTTGCGACAAATTTAAGCTATACATAAGTAATTGAAACTGACCAGAAGAGGAAATTTTTCTAGATAATAAAGTTTAGCAAACTGTCGTCATCGATATAATAAACTGACAAATGAAATATCATCTTTCAAAAAAAACTACAGCTTAACCTTTCCTGGGAAAACAGTCCTTTTTTCTTTTTGCTTTGTATTCCACATTTTGTGATCTAGAATACACGCAAAACCAAGATCTGTCATTGTAGCCTTCATCCAAGAAGTCAAATAAGGATACCATTAGTTATTAGTTGTTGGAACACAAGAAGCAGGTTTAATTTCTTCAAAATACAATTAACGTTCAGTAAATGTAAATTAGGACAATTAATATATCTTGTTAGATGTTTTGGTGTGTAGTATCGCTGTATATTTTTACGAGTTGTGCCGTATTCCCATAATTCGTTAAGAATTCTCCCGAGCAAAACAGAGTTCAATTTGCTTACGGCAATTTCTTTCTCTTCGTATGCTCCAGACAAAATTTTGCTGGCTTCCATTACAGTTTCCTCACAATATTCGTAATTCCACAATACCCTAAGAGAAGCAAATTTTGTTTATCAGCACGGGAATATTTTATACAAACAAATCAAAGGTGCATAAACGAGAAAACCTACCACGACTTTCACTTCAAAGATGATTGTATCTCCTCAGTTTCTACGGAGCTTTCGCCGTTGAACTTACGTTTCTTTGGTTTTGAAGCCATTTTGCAAAAGGGTTCTGTACGACTTTTATTTTGCATTGTAAATTCGACGTAAGGGGACCCTGGGTGTTACAACACTGGAAAAGTTGAAAATTTACATGGACATGTCAATTTTAATTTACAGTATGTAAATCTTGATTTACATTCTTTGTAAATTACAATTTAAATGTTAGGGTTTTGTAAAATAAAATTACAGGAAATTTACACCTTTTAGTACAGCATGTAAATGTTCTGTAAATAGTGATTTACATTGTCTTTGTCGACAATGATCATTTGAAGAACATGTAAAAACCTGTAAAATATTTTACGCACTTTAACAGTATCTGCCTTTGTAAAAAAACATGTAAATTGCTTTGCTAAACCATGTGAGGAACGTGTAAATAATT